AGCAAATATGGCAATTGAAGGTATAACAACTTGACATTCAGCACAAGTGCATGTAAAATAATGTGCTTTTGTTGAAATTTTATGAACACAATCATCACATAAACCTTTTATGCCCAAAAAATCAGCACCTATCCAAACCCACTCACAAGTTTCTAAAGTCAATGGTTTTGAGTGAGAAGTTAAATTACCAGTATAAATATAAGTGAGTATTAGATTTAAGGATGTATTATTAAATATTGATGCGTCTAGACGTATGCTGGCAGTTTTAGAATCCTTGAAATTTGAACTTAACATCGCCTTAAAATAATCGGATCTTGAGGCTAGCATGAATCTATGAGCTTTGAAGGTGACTGGTGTTAATTTTTGATTGTCATCATCATCATCTTCTTCTTCTTCAACTACAATGTCTAAATCACCATTGTCAGAATGATCTAAAATTAATTCAACATCAGTATACAATTTTTGATTTAAACATGTATAATAAATCTTCTTTTAATTTATCTTGCTCCAGTTCATCAGTTGTATCCACAGCTGCCAAAAATTCCTCGCTACCTTCTTCACCAGTATAAAAAAATTTCAATTCTTGCCTAAACATTATTGGATCTTCATCATCATTCACAACAACATCCACAACAACATCATCACCACATACAAATAATATTCAAAAGAGTACAATTTGGGTGTTTCTACCTTCTTCACCAGTATAAAAAAATTTCAATTCTTGCCTAAACATTATTGGATCTTCATCAGCTTTAACAATCAAAGGTTCTGGATTTGACAATCTGACTGATCTTATAGACATTCCATTTGTATCTTTATTTTTAAGAAAACGTTCTTGGAATGAACGTGAACTTCTTGAATACAAAATTGCTATTCAGTTATAAATAATTAAACAAATGGTTTTTCCTAGTTAGCTAAATATAAATTCTGATCAAGTTGCTTCATTACTGTCATTGAGCACACCCAAATTACCTTGTTGTTTCTACATTTAGAGAACATAAGTAAGCAATTTGTTTCCAAATTAAAGAAAAAGAAGAGTTGCCAATACTACCTTGAGTTCAGTCATTAATTCATCCAATACATTTATTTCATTTTCATTACAATCTTTAATTTCTGCAAGTAATAATAAACAGAAATATGAATAAATATCAGGGAATTATGTTAATGTCTAAATAAATATAAATGAATACCTTTTGGATTAACTTTCATTTGGGGAATATCTTTGATATTATCATAATTAAGGTTGAAACTGTTTGCTGCTACACTAAAATTTTTATAACTGGAAAACTGCTCTTATGCTGCAAAACAAATTGTTGAATGGTGAGCAATATTACATAATGAATATGCCACCATTTTTAAACTTACATGTTTTGACCTTGAATGAAAACTTTATAGTGCTTGAAATAGGAGGTGACAATCTCCAGAGATTTTCAAGAGACATGTTCAAGGTGTCTTGATCAATAACATCTGCATCATCACCAGTTAGAGTGATTGAGATGGTTTCACTTGGTAGATCTTCCGCAGCTTTCTCCATTTCACACTGAATCTTTTTTCTGAAGTTTAGGCCAACCTGCTTTACCATTGTGACATAGAAATTTGAAATTTCTAGTATATCTTGAAAATGTTGCATTGCATTCTAAGCCAATCAGCTCTTGAAATGAATTATATAAAAGGTTAATTCTAACATGAATAGGATAAAGGGCAACATTGTATCAAAGATAAGGAGGTGTGAATTTTACACATTCATTGTGTAATACCTGATATATCTTTTCCCTTCAATCCTTTTATTAATTGTTGGAAACAATCAAAAGAAAAGCACAAGGTTAATATTGTAAATAATATACCAAATAAATAAAAAAATGGAATGAATGGAAAATAATTTTTTTATATTGGTGATTCGCCTATGAATCAGTGAATGATTGACATTTTTTATAATAACTAGAATATTTATCAGCCTTCAATGTATAACCCAACATTTACATCCAAGATATTTACCTGCATCACTTTTTAATTTTTCTTTCAATGTTTTCAACTCCAACTCCAATTCATCTATCCTCCTTCTCCAACTCTAAAGAGGAAGATTGCTTGTGCAGAGAATAATTGTATATAAAAATTATTTTATGTTGAATTAGTATTTACAATATTGAATACTAAAATAATATTTTATTGAAATTATTTTCTTTGTTTTTGCTAATAAAAAAAAAGTTTATAATTAACTAGAATGATGATGATCGCAATAACCACCAATCTTTATATATAAACTAGAGTAACGACAAGTGGCGGGCGATAACCACCACCATCCTTATTCTTAAAACACTTACCCACTTCACCCAGCTGCTCCAGATGTATTTTCTTGTCTTCTTTTTCTTGTTGTGGATTTTGACATTATAAAAAAAAAAATTTTAAAAAAGAAGTTTGTTATTTGATCGATGCGTACACATTAATTAGGGTTGTGTTGGTCTTTAAAAGACCAGTCCCTTTGAACCACAGTCCTAAATTTTAGGACCAGTCTTGGACCGGTCTTTATAAGACCAGCTGATCTTTCTTAATAAGGAAATTTTGAACAATAAAAATTTTTATGTTAAAATTGATGAGTATCTTTTTTTTTTTGAGTTTTTTATTTTATTCATTATTATTATGTTTTATTGAAGGCCAAACTTTTGTTTAAAAATTAATTATTACATTGCTCACTTTTTGAGGCTAATACTAAGGAACTTTAATAATAAAAAATCAATGATAATAATTTAGTATGTATAATAAAAACCAATAGTTTATTTAATATAACTTAATGATATAACAGTAG